GCCTACTGACGTGTCACTGTAGCTGATGTGTCACTGTGTCTGATGTGGCACTGCTGACGTGTCACTGTGTCTGACGTGGCACTGCTGACGTGTCAGTGTCTGACGTGGCACTGCTGACATGTCACTGTTGACGTGGCCTGCTGACGTGTCATGTACCAACCCGGAAATGCATGCAAAGAGGTGGGTGGGAGGGAAAACGCAGGTAGGAAACCAACCCAACAATACTTTCCTCCGGCCCTAATCAACAGATAAAAAAATAAAATAAATAAAATAAAAGAGGACTACTTCCTTTTTTTATTTTATTTTTTTGTATATCTGTCGATCTATTATGAGTAGGATATGTCAGAAGAGTACTATGAATGAGAGCTAGGCTAGTTTCTGCAAAGTTTCGGCTTTTACAAACTGCGATCTTGAAATTTTTTTTTTGCGAAATGGAGTAAAGATGCGATGTTCAGAAAAGAACGAAATCCAGTTTCTGAGAATATGGCAACCTCCCAATATGCCTAACGCAATATTGGTAGTCTTCGCAAGATTTCGGTTTTCAAAAAAATTTTGCGAGATAGAATGGAAATTCGATTTTCAGAAAAGAATAATTCCAGTTTCCGAGAATATGACCACTTCTATCCTTATCCCAATATGCCTAGAGAACGAAATACTAACTTCAGAAATTTCAGCTATGTATGCGAAATATCAGAAACGATAAGCTACTATCGGGAATTTTCAGACAAAACGAAATGCGATTTATCAGAAATTTTCAGATATTTGTTACGTAAAAACGAACTACTAATATCAGAAATTTTCAGGTAAAACGAAATGCGAATATCAGAAATTTTCAGATAGTTGTTGCGATAATTTTTTTTTCAGAGATTTGACGAAGTCCTACTTGCGTTACTAACGAGTCATCAATAGATCAGCAAGCTGGCTACTTGATTGAGCGGGTCCTCTGAATGAGAGGTCCGCTCCGATACCAAACTGTTGCATACTGTAACGTGCAGACCAGAACAAGAACCGACCTCTCAATACAAAGTACAAGATAACACAGCGGAAGACTTGGATACCAATGATCCGAACAATCAATATTGCAATGCAGCCCTGAACACACATCATCATCATCGTTACATGGTGTAAATGGGGTCTGGCGCTTCACA